TTTGTTTGTTTGTTTTTCTTTCTTTTTTTTGTTTCTTTTTTCCGTCACGCGTTTGCCCTTTTTTTTTTGTTACTGTCTGTTTCGGTTTATTATTCCAATATGCGTACCGCCTTCTGTCTGCCTGTCGCTCTCTCTCTCTCTCTGCTTCTTTCTTTCCTTCGTTGTGGGGGGTGGGGGACAGCTGCTTTTGCTGCCGTGGGCATCTTTTTGCTCTCGTTTCTTTTTTTTTTTTTCCTCTTGGCGCTGCTGGTTGTCTCCGTCGCGGGGGGGGCACGTGCGCATGTATGAATGTATGAGTCGATGAAAAGGGCAACCCCCCTCCCCCCCATCCCCTCGTAGTGCTGTGCATGTAGCTACCCGTGCAAGGGCATTCTGCGCCTGCGCGTGTGTCCGGAGGCGCTGCTGCCCCGCCTGTGCTACCCCCCCCCCCCTCCCCTTCTTTACGGCCGTGGCCTCCCCCCTTCTTTCCCTCCGCCCTCTTTTTGTATTTACGCGGCACGCGTGCCTGTGTATTTGCGGGTGCGTGGGTATTTTCCGGTTTTATGCCCTATTCCCCCGCCTTTCTTTTTTTCTTGTTTTTGTTGTTGTTGGTCTTATCTGTAGACGAAGTGCTCGGCATGGGTGACGTATACTTTTGCAGCGCACGCATGCCCATTATATATATATATATATATAAACACACTCATACGCGAGTGGTATGACGTGCATGCGTGCGTGACAGCACCCCCTGCCCGCGCGCGGAAGGCATAAGCGGCACACAGACAAGAGAGAGAGAGAGGAGGGGAGGGGAGGGTGAATTCTTCGTGAACAGATTCTGCGAGTAAAAAAGTAATGAGGGAGCTAGAGTGGAAGGGGAAACGTGCGCAGAAAATGAACAGAATGACGGCCACGGCATTGAAACGGTGGGAGCAAACATAGCCAGGAAGGTAACCAGCGTGCGCGCAGAGTATATATGCGTTGTGTACGAACGGCAGCGAAAGAAGAGATGCTCTCCCCCCTCTCTCCTACACAAGCACACACGCACACGCAGAGAGAGGTGCGGTAGGAGTACAAAAGGAAGATAAGTAAATAAAAAAGAAACTGAATGGGGGAATGATGACGACGGCTGCCTATGTGTGTGTGTGTGTGCGTGTTTGTGTAGTTTATGAATGGATTGAAGACTTGAAATGCGTATTGTTTATGAATTCTCCTGCTTTTCTTGCTGTTGTTTTTATTTTGCTCCCTACTATTTCCTGAGGTGGTTCGGTTTGGGGGTGAAGTGCTACGAACCCGCGTGAGTAGTGCGACTCGCGACGTCTGGAAGCAGCACCAGCCAAACGAGGAAGACACTTCGGGCACGTTATTCTCCTCTGCCCACCACTCGCTCCCTCGCGTTCTCTCTGTGGGTGCAGAAGGCGGCGGGCGGTGCGTGTGTGTGTGTGGCGCAGTCCCTCCGTGAGCCAATGTTTGTGTGTCTGCCTCTCTGCTGGACGGCTGTTGGGCGAAACAGGAATAAAAAAAAACGAGGCGGGACGAAACGGGGCTGGAAGCCTTGGGGAAGTGTACAAATTACTGCCGCAATGATGTGCATTTCTCTCTTTTTTTTTTCGCCCGTTTATATATATATATCTCTCTCTCTCTTTCCCCCGTTGTGCCCATGCACTTTGTATACACCTGAAGACTACGTGGCCCCGTGAGCGGCGCGGCTTCCTGCCCCCGCAATACAAAAAAAAAACCGACTGCATATACGCAGAGCAAACAAAAAAAAAATTTTCCTCTACTTGCGTCATCGCACTGGGTCCCACTGGCGCTGTTGGGGGAGGAGGGGGTGCACCCGCTGCCTTTTCAGCGAATCACAAGATCTGTCGTGCTTTTTTTTTCTCTTTGCCAGCTGCACTTGTCCGTGCGTGGAGGTTGATTGCGTGAAGGGCCCAGCCGTGCGCGTGAGAGCGAGAAGGAGAAAGTGAGGCACCGTGTGACTGAGCAACCGGTGTGGCTGGACGAGCACAGTGTAAATAATACGAGGAGAAAAAAAAACGGGACTATGGGGGTAGGCCGGGGCGGCAGTTTCAGTGACGGTGGAGCGAAAGAGGTTTTTAAAAAACGCAAAAGAGTAAGGAATTCGGTTTCTCTGCTTTCTTGTATGGCTCCCTTTTCTTTCTTCTTGATCCTTATTCGTCTATTCTTTTGATGTGCATTTATCCTCGAGGGGTGGCGTGTGCGTTGTTGTTGTTGTTGTTTTCTTTATTGTGTTGTGGTGCCAGTCTGTTTATTGTGCCGATATATGACATTATATATATATATATGTCTATGGGTTGGTCGGCGACCACTCCTGCATTACAGTGCACCCACTCTTGCCGTGCTACCTTCACACACGCATGGACTCTCTCTCTCTCTCGCACGCACGCACGCACGCACGC